GAGACAGAAAAGCAAAGAAAAACACAAAATAATGCCAAAAGGCCACCAAGGCATAAGCCCTTTCCTCCCTTCCTATTATCCATTTACTGGACCTGCCAGTACAATTCCTACCTCTGCAATAGAAGATGAACTCCTGATGGAATAAGGCGTCCATACTGTAAGGCACACAAGATTTACAACTTCAAAGTCACTTTATCTCAGTATCAACCAGAGACAACCTTCTTGAAGTCCTATAAATGAACTTAGAAGGCCTTAAGAATAAGTAATTGTCAGAAAAATTTAAGGCAGTTTAGTAAATGTTTTGCAATTTAACACTGAGGTCAGCAATGCCTCCCTAAATCAAAACCTGTATCTGAAAGACTCCAGAAGCAAACTCTCATGTAAACATTCATGCCAAAGTAAAATAAAATAAAACAGTATATCACAAGTTACAGAGCTGGAAAATAAATGGTCCTGACCAAAATGTTTTGATCAGGATGACAAATCACTAACACACAATGGCATTTTTAGAAAGTAGAGCTGACAGCCGGGCACGGTGGCTCACACCTGTAATCCCAGCGCTTTGGGAGGCTGAGGTGGGCAGATCACCTGAGGTCGGGAGTTCAAGACCAGCCTGACCATCAGAGTGAAACCCCGTCACTGCTAAAAAGACAAAATTAGCCAGGTGTGGTGGCACGTTTGTAATCGCAGCTACTCAGGAGGCTGAGGCAGGAGAATCCCTTGAACCCAGGAGGCAGAAGTTGCAGTGAGCCAAGATCATGCCATTGCACTCCAGCCTGGGCAACAAGAGTGAAACTCTGCCTCAAAAAAAAAGAAAAAAAAATTAGCCAGGTATGGTGGTGGGCGCCTGTAATCCCAGTTACTCAGAAGGCTGAAGCAGGATAATCACTTGAACCCAGGAGTTGGAGGTTAGAGTGAGCCAAGTCTTGCCACTGCGCTCCAGCCGGGGTATGAAGGGGTCGGGGGAAAGCTGGGCATGGTGGCTTACTCCTGTAATCCAAGCACTTTGGAGGCCAAGGCGGGTGGATCACCTCAGGTTGGGAGTTCAAGACCAGCCCAACCAACATGGTGAAACCCCGTCTTAAAAAAAAAAAGTTAAGAAGAGCGAAACTGTTTCAAAAAAGGAAAAAAAAAAAAGTAGAGCTGACACTTTAAAAAATCTTACCACGTCTCCACTGTGTACATTTATCTACTATCGAAAGGGAGGTATACTTTATACATTAACTGCTTTGTGTATTTCAAACGGAAAAAAAAAAACAAAATTACCACTTCTCCACTGTGTACATTATTCTACTGGTCAAAAAGCAGGTATACTTTACACACTACCTGCCGTGTGTCTTTGAATGGGGGAAAAGTCCAAAAAGCAAAAAAAAAGCACAAAACCCAGGGCCATAAAACTGTACCAAGACCAGAAGGATCTTTACCCTACTTAATTATATGTCATATCCTAAAATCCTATTTTTCCAGGTGCTCTTTAAGTGCATATGGCATTAAGCATTTACAAAGCAGTGACAAAACATCTTCACTGAGTAATGAAGACAAGAGATGACCCTCATCATTTCCATCACTCAGATGATCAGAAACAGCTTCACGAAATATTTCCAGGATCTGCCTAACACTAACTTTTCTAGTCTTTTGGTCAATAATTTTATAAAAAAATGTTTACGAGTGGCTTTTATAATTTTTTTTTTGAGGGAAGAGAGGTATAACAAAATGTCATTTCCCAAATGATTTATTTTACCCTAACCATACCAAATGAAATAAAAATTTTGATGGATTAAATGCAAATACGAAACAGGAACATAAAGGTGTAAACGCTACAAACAAGTCCTCTCTTCCCCATCCCAACATGTAAAAGTTGAGTTTAACTTAAGTTATTTGAATCAACCTGTAAATATTTTGGGAGAATATCTGAGTATTAAACAAATTCAGACATTGAGTCTTAAGTACTAATATGATCTTTAACACTTTAGCATATCATCCCATTGGATTCCAGTTTTCTTTCCTTTAAAGCTGACACTAGAACACCCTTAGTGGATATATTTACACCCTAAGATTTGGAAGCCTAAATCACTTTCTTAAAAAAAGTTTTTATGATCTAGAATTTTGGGCTTATTTTAACCAGTTCTAGATAAAAACCATAGTATCAAGGAATAATTTCCTTACACATTTATAAAATACCCAAGTGACAACTCAAAAGTCCAAAGTTACAAGTTTGAAATTTAAAGTTTTTGGCCAGGCGCGGTGGCTCAAGCCTGTAATCCCAGCACTTTGGATCAAGACCATCCTGGTCAACATGGTGAAACCCCATCTCTACTAAAAATACAAAAAATTAGCTGGGCATGGTGGTGCGTGCCTATAGTCCCAGCTACTCAGGAGGCTGAAACAGAATTGCTTGAACCCAGGAGGCGGAGGCTGCGGTGAGCCAAGATCGCACCATTGCACTGCAGCCTGGGTAACAAGAGCGAAACTCCGTCTCAAAAAAAAAAAAAAAAGTTTAAAGTTTTAAGAGGTGATGCGCCTCCAATAAAAGTTACCTGCAAACATATTACAAACTGCTGAGTGGAAAAAAAAGTAATAAATCAAGATATAATGGTAAACCTGGCCAGGCACGGTGGCTCATGCCTATAATCCCAGTACTATGGGGGGCGAGGCAGGTGAATCACTTGGGGGCAGGAGTTCGAGACCAGTGTGACCAATATGGTGAAACCTCCATCTCTACTAAAAATACAAAAAAATCAGCCAGGCATAGTGTCCTGCGCCTGCTGTCCATTGAAACCCCAGAAGCAGAGGCTGTAGTGAGGTCCTGCCACTGCACTCCAGCCTGGATGACAGAGTGAGACTCTGTCTTGGGAAAAAAAAATAATAAAAAAAAATATAATGGTACCCAACTTGAAGTAAGTTCACAGAGGAACACTATTTTCTTTATACTCATTTCTCCCCTCCCCCAAACCCAGACTGGTTACAATTAAAAACTGTACACCAAAGAATTCCTGGAGTAGAATCTTGATTTGGGGAGGGGGGGAAATCAACCCTCATTACAAAATTTATAAAAGTAAGACAAACTTTTAGTATTACCAATGAATTAATCAATCTCAATGTTGAGGGATTTTTTTAAAACTACAAAAGCCCACTTGATACATTTAGAACTTTTGTAATTATTCAAACATATTGCAAGTAGCAAAACAGACCAGATATGAAGAAAGCAGTAGCACACCTGAACATAAGCAGTTAAACAATACAGCTCCAAGATGAAGCCGCTCAAATCAGGACTCATCAAGGTAAAGTGTATTAAAAAGCTTCCCCTACTTTCCAAGTCTCTGGCTAACTCCAACGTAAACTCCATGACATTACACCAAAACTAAAATGCAAAAAGTACCACATTTCACAAACACTAAAGGAACACCACAAAAATCTACAGGTGAATAAGTGTGTAAAGATGATCTAAAAAATCCTTCTGAATGGCACTTTCGTAGGTGCAAAGGAATACAATGATGTGCGTCTATGTGCGTGAATTTTGAAGAAAAAAAACAGCTAAAAAATATCCTTGGAGACTACAGTACCTTCATAGAATAGGTACAGATCAAAGTACATGCATAATCAGTGTTACAAGCCTTAAATAGAGGAACTCTGCAAGATTCCTATTTCCCAATTGTTGCAGGTTAACTGAAATTCATTTTACATCTTTCTTATAAAAGCAACGAATTCAAAGCATTTGTTCCGTCTTTCCATATTCACTCTGAAATGAAGCCTACTTAGAAACATGTTCTCCAAGTTCTCTACAAACTCAAAGGGTACATTTAACTCCATTATGCACTCTCACTGGCAGATGGAAGGATGACGTTGAGCCTGTTCTCAGGGAGTTAAAGAGATGCTCCGTAGTAAAGGGGAACATCTTGTGGGCTGTCAGATGGCCAGCCATTCTTCATCTTCATTATTCCAGCAAAGAAAAGGTCCTCGCCCATCAGGATAACACCATTAAACTAACTGTAAGAAGAGAATGAAGGGGATGATGGAAGAAGTCTCCCTGAACTTCTCTGACAAAGGGGCTGGTCCACAACTGAATGAACTGAAGAATCCGGAAAGCTTTTAAATAAAAATCTTGATCTCCAAATGTGTTTAAAAGTGTAAAAAGACAAACACAAAAACACCAAAGCTAATGCACATTTTAAACTTTTGTATAATCAGTTCATGTTCGTAGTTCCTGACTGGAACTCTTTCAACTTCTAACGTTGATTTTCAGGTACATAACTCCACAAAATTGTTTATCTTTTTTCTTCCTCCTAAAATGATAAAGTGAATGCAAACTACAAAGAACATGACCCTGTTCTCACAACCTGAAAATCCAGAGTTTCAGACATTTTGGTCTCACACCAAAACTGGAAGATGTGAGATGAACTGCACTCCATATTGATTCTTACAGCAAATAAGAAAAAGCAGGGGGAAAAAGCTAAGAAGGGTAGGTAAGACAAAACAATTGTTAAACTTCGCTTCTAATCTGAAATCTTGGACCTCGCACACACAAAAATCAAGTTTTTACATCCTATTTAACAGAAAATATTCTGCAAAGGAGAGAAAATTTTGAAAAGGGTGGAAAGTAGAGAAAATAGAGTAAGTACAATGAGGAGAAAGGATTCGAAATTCTTCATTTACCAAGAACAAAAAAAATTAAAACTTAAATTGCATAGAAGCTCTTACTCATAAATGCACTGGCATTTCCCAAATTAAACTGCACGGGAGCAACAATACAGGCCATTTCTATACAGCACCCACTTACGAGCTCTAATTCCAGAACACACACCGATATGACACAGTGTTGCAACCAATGTATTAGGAGGCAAAGAAAATGGTTGGGCTACTGGACGTCTTCGATCAGCTCATTCAAATACCTTTAAAATTAATTAAGGGACAGGGAGAGAGGAAAAAAAAAAATGGAATAAAGGAGCACCGAGTAGAAAAGATTAAGAGGAATGTGGAAGGCCGGGGCTGCCGAAACTAACCTGTGCCATCGCTGGCCGACGCCGAGAGGGCCGGAGATGAGAGTTTAGGCCGCTTGGCTGAAGGCGGCCCCGGTTCCACCACATTCTCGGCCATTTTTAATTCTTTCGGAGATACAGGCGAGGAAAACCAGAATCCTCAGGAAATCTCTTCGGCCCGGGGTCCCCGCCCCGCACCCAGGGGTGGGCTGGGGGGCTCCGACGGCACCCGAGGGGGTGGGGGAAGTTCCTTTTTCTCTTCGCCGGGTCGCAGTGGCTGGAGAGGGATGCGGACTCGATAGAAAAGGTAGGGGCAAGTGCTAGGGGCCGGGCCTGGGCCCAAGCCCGGAGGAGGGCACAGGAGCACAAATTCACCGAGCGCGTCTGCTGCGGCGAATTCCCGAGAACTCGCGGCTCTAGAGGCGCAGTCCCCGGCCCGCCACGGCCGGCCCCTGCCCAGCCGAGGTCTCTCGGAGCTCCGCCGCCGCCATCAGCCTCTTCCTCCTCGGCGCTGTCCTCCTCCTTCTCATCGCCACAAGGAGGCGGGGGCGAAAAGGGGGGAGAGGAGGAGGCGACGAGAGACACTCACCTCCTCCCGGTGCCCCCTCCCGGGCCTGCGCCCCCACCCTCCGAACCCTCCTCCTGCCGCTGCCGCCGCCGCACCGGCCCCTAATGGCCGCAGAGAGCTCAACCGAGCCGAGAGCCAGGCTGGCGCCGCCGCCTCACATCGCACGGCGGCCGGCGGAGGCGCGGCAAGAACGCCAGGCGCGGAGCTGGCCGGCCCAGAGGACCGAGGGGGCCGGGCCGAGCAGCGCCGCCCGCCCGCGCCGACGCCAAACCCACCGAGGAGGCCCCGCTCCGGCGGCGGCGCAGGCGGCCCCTCCTCGCGCCGCGCTTCTCTCCTTCGCCCTCCTCTCGCGCGGAAAATAAATAAATACGGCCGCCGCTACGGTCCCCTCCGCCGGCGGCCAGGTGCTGGGAGAGCCCGCCCCCCCGGGGCTCCGCTCGGGGCCGACCGCGACGGCGGGCGAAGGCGCCGCGGGGCGCGGGGTTATGTAATGGTCCCCCCTAGGCGTCGACGCCGGCCCCGCTCCCGGGCCGCGGTGGGGGTGTGTGCGGACGGGAGGGGGCTAGGGGTCGCCTCAACCCGTGCGCCCCAGGCCCCCTGCCACTGTCTCGGCCCCAGCCGCCTCTCTCCGTCCCGGATCCCCTCCGCACTCTCTGGCTCCCGCAGTTCGCACTCAGCTCGGCGTCCCGCTTGCCCACTCTCGCCCGCTCCCTCTCGCCTCTCTCCCCCCCCAACCTAGCACACAAACAAGATGGCGGCTGTTGTTTCTTCCCTCTGCCGAATCCTCCTTACAGGCTAGCGGTAGCGGCGGCGGCCGGAAATGAGCCAAAGGAGGGGGGTGAAAAAGGGGAGGGGCCGGGCCTCCGAAGGGAGGCGGGGCCTAGGCCCGAGCCGCTCACACAATGGGGGAAGTGGCGCCGGGGGCGGGGCCGGTTCCAATCACGGGATCCGCCCTAGTCCCCAACGCGGTTAGCGCTTCCGCAAACTCCCCCGGCGACACCCTGTGGCTCCCTTTAAAGGGGAGGATTTTTAAGAGGGGAGAGGATTTTAAGGGGGGAGGGGTGGGGGCGGACTCAATCTATTTTCTGTCGGTCGATAGTTACGAGGGAAGGTTCCTGGCTTTGGTCTCTTGTAGGGGACCGGTGGGAACCTGGGCGACTGAGCCCGGGAGCTGCGCCGAGGAAGACGCCAAGTCGCCACTTAGATGGCCAAAGGGGAGCGCCCGTGGGGCGGCCCTGCTTCCTGGCCTTTGAGTGGCGGGTCCCCCAAACCCCGGTCGAATCCATAAGCCAGGGTGTACCCACTGCCGAATACCCAGTGCATCCTCACTTCTCCATTGGCTTCCCAAAGGGAGTAGTTCACATCCAAAAAGCACGTTGATTACGAGTTGTTTTCAATTTCCTCTGAATTTTCCTTTTTTTTTTTTTTTCCACAACGAGCATATATTACTTTGACCAGAAAACAAAAATCACAGCAGTGGGAAGGAAGATGTTTCGGCACCAGACCCAACATTTCTTGCCCTCCACGTGTGTCCGTCCATACGCCCCTACCAGGTAGCACTCTCACCACAGAAGTCTTTCTTTTCTGAACACGCCTGGGACCTGAAGACATTTTTAGGTTTCTTTTTTCTTTTTTTTTTCCGTCTGCTCCCAATAGATCAAATTAATAAAAGACCACGTCAAGCCAGTGCCTTATCTAATGTAATTATGGGAAAAAGCAAAAATGTGGTAAAGGTAAGGATGGAAAAAAGCAAAAATGTAACGGGGGGAAAGTCCAGTGTGTGGGACCCAGCAGTTTTGCAGCTGAGGTCGGAGACATGCTTTCGGGTTTCTACACATTACCCTGTGTTTTGACCTTGTGTAAATTGTTACTGGAGAAGGTGGTATGGGTGTAAGTGACCCCCAAAGAAACTCACAAACTATTATCTATTGATATGGTTTAAAGCTTTTTCTCAAGCTGGGCTCAGTGGCTCACACCTGTAATCCCAGGAACTTTAGGAGTCCAAGACAGGTGGATCACGAGGTTGGGATTTGAAGACCAGCCTGGGCAAGATGATGAAAAGCCACCTCTACTAAAATACAAAAATTAGCCTGGTGTGGTGGCACGCACCTGTAATACCAGCTACTCAGAGGCTGAGGCAGGAGAATCGCTTGAACCCAGATGGCAGAGGTTGCAGTGAGTTGAGATCCTGTCACTGCCACACACTCCAGCCTGAGCGACAGAGCAAGACTCCCTCTCAAAAAAAAAAAAAAAAAAAAGTTCGCGATGGCTCACGCCTGCAATCCCACCCCTTGGAAGGCTGAGGCGGGTGGATCGCCTGAGGAGGGGGAGTTCGAGACCAGCCTGGCCAACATGGTGAAAACCCGTTTCTACTAAAAATACCAAAATTAGGCGGTATGGTGGTACACACCTGTAATCACAGCTACTTGGGAGGCTGAGGCAGGAGAATCGCTTGAACCCGGGAGGCAGAGGTTGCAGTGAGACGAGATTGCACCATTGCACTCCAGCCTGGGCAACAAGAGCGAGACTCTGTTCCAAAGGAAAAAAAAAAAAGCTTTTTCTTTTATTTTATATCTCATGTTCTGTAGTTTGTATTTGCGAATTGTTGGATTTTCTTTGGTTTCTGTTATTGTTTCTGTTTGTTTTGTTCTTTTTTTTTTCTTTTCTCTGTTTTCTAAATAAATGGTGGGATGAATAATAAAAATAAAATAAGAAAAAAGAAGTGATGGGATGAATAAGTAAGAACCTAAGAGTGAAGATCCTAATGGAGCAAGTCAAGTTGCTGACAGGGATGGATTCTGTCCTGTGATGTTCAGGCCTAGATCACCCAAACTGCAGTAGAAAAGCAGGCAAATTGAAAAAGACAGAACTTTTTATCTTAAAGTTGTTACAGGAAGAATTCAATGTGTGGGAGTAAGATCAAGATTGGCCTTCAGAGATAATTTTATTATTTTTATTTTTTTATTTTCTTTTGTTCCAAGAACTAAATTTTGTTATTTTTAATAGTTTATACCCACATTCAGACTAAGGAGTACAAATGAAAGAAATGTTGGCGGGGCACAGTGTCTCATACCTGTAATCCCAATGCTTTAGGAGATGGGGGTGGGAGGATGCCTTGAGCCCAGGAGTTTAAGACCAGCCTAGGAAACACAAAGAGAACCCCCACTTAGTCCCCATCTCTACAAAAGTAAAAAGAAAAATAGGCACGGTGGTGTACCTAGCACCTGTAGTCTCAGCTACTCCAGTTACTGAAATGGGAGAATCACTATAGCCTGGGAATTCAAGGCTGCAGTGAGCTGTGATTATGCCACTGCACTCCAGCTTGGGCAATAGAATGAGAGATCCTGTCTTTTTAAATAAATAAATATTTTAAAAACCAAATGAGAGAAATGAGAAATGTGGAGGACACCTGGAAACTTGCTCTGTAATTTCCTGGTGGGAGATTGCTTGCCCAGTTTTTTTGGTGTGTGTTTGTGTGTGTGTGTGTGTGTGATGGAGTCTTGCTCTGTCACCTGGGCTAGAGTTCAGTGGTACAATCTTGGCTTGCTGTGACCTCTGCCTCCTGGCTTCAAGTGATTCTTCTGCCTCAGCCTCACTATTAGCTGGGATTACAGGCATGTACCACCACACCCAGCTAATTTTTTGTATTTTTAGTAAAGATGGGGTTTCACCATGTTGTCCAGGCTGGTCTCGAACTCTTCATCTCAGATGATATACTTGTCTAGGCCTCCCAAAGAGCTGGGATTACAGGGGTGAGCCACTGCACCTGGCCCCAGCTTTTTTTTTTTTTCTTTTACAGAGTTTTTTTTCTTCTTCTTGTGAGACAGAGTCTCACTCTGTTGCCCAGGCTGGAGTGCAGTGGTGTGATTTTGGCTCACTGCAGCCTCTGCCTCCCAGGTTCAAGTGATTTTCCTGCCTCAGCCTCCCTAGTAACTGGGATTACAGACGTGAGCCACTGAGCCTGGCCTTTTTTGTTTGTTTGTTTAAATGGAGTCTTGCCCTGTCACCGAGGCTGGAGTGCAATGGCTTGATCTCTGCTCACTGAAACCTCCAACTCCCGGGTTCAGCCTCCTGAGTAACTGAGATTACAGGTGTGCACCAACATGCCTGGCTAATTTTTTGTATCTTTAGTAGAGACAGGGTTTCACCATGTTGGCCAGACTTGTCTCAAACTCCTGACCTCGCGATCATCCACCTCAGCCTCCCAAAATGCTGGGATTACAGGTGTGAGCCACTGTGCCTGGCTCTTTCTTTTCTTTTCTTTTCTTTTTTATGACTTTAGGGAAAAGATTTGCCTAGTTATAGAGAGGAGCCAGGTTCCATCAAAGCAGCATTCAAAGATACCTTGCCCACCTGGCCGAAAATACTGTAGAACTAGACATAAGAAGCAGATTGAAGGAGATATGAGGAGCATCCCATAGAAGACTCAACCAAAAGAAATCAGAGACCACAACCCCTGGCTCTGCTATAAATGGAGAACTCTGATACTTGGTGCATCTCCCTGAGATGTGTTCCTCTGGTCTTTCCCCAGAACCTGGAACCTGAAGTTGGCCAGGTTGGGAGTGGCTGATGGCAAGAAAATAAGGGTCACACAAAGGCAATCAAAGTGATGCTTAAGATGGCTTCAGAACAGCAGAATTGAGGCCAGTCATGGTGACTCACACCTGTAATCCCAGCACTTTGGGAGGCCGAGGCGGGCAGATCACGAGGTCAAGAGATTGAGCCCATCCTGGCCAACCAGGAAACCCCAT